TGCCTGTTACTCCAGGCATCTCTTGACTTCCTACTTTTGGATTCCAATCCCCAGTAATGAATNTTTTTTTTTTTTTGGTGTTAGTTCTAGGAGGTCTTCTAGGTCTTCATAGAACTGTTCAACTTAAGCTTCTTCAGCATCGGTGGTAGGGGCATAGACTTGAATTACTGTGATGTTGAATGACTTGTCTTGGAAACAAACTGAGATCATTCTGTCATTTTTGAGGTTGCCCCCAAGTACTGCATTTCGGATTCTTTTGTTGATTTTGAGGGCTACTTCATTTCTTCTATGGGATTCTTGCTCATAGTAATAGATACAATGTTCATCTGAGTTAAATTTGCCCATTCCCGTCCATGTTAGTTCACTGATTCCTAAGATGTCAATGTCCATTACTTCATGGCAGGTAGACGGGGGAAAGGTGGAAGCAGTGACAAGTTTCCTTTTCTTGGGGTCTAAAATCCCTGTGGATTTTCACTGCAGCCATGGAATCAGAAGACGATTGCTTCTTGGCAGGAAAGTGATGACAAACCTAGACAGTGTGTTAAAAAACAGAGATATCACTCTGCCAACAAATGTCTGTATAGTCAAGGCTATGATCTTCCTAGTGGTCAGGTACAGTTGTGAGAGCTAGACCCTAAAGAAGGCAGAGTACTAAAGAATTGATGCCTCCAAACTGTGGTGCTGAAGACTCCTGAGAGTCTCTTGGCCAGCAAGGTGATCAAACCAGTCGATCTTGACAAAAATCAACCCTGAATACTCATTGGAAGGACTGATGCTGAAGCTTAAGCTCCAGTGTTTTGATCACCTGATGCAAGCAGTCGACTCACTGGAAAAGTTCCTGATGCTGGGAAGGATTGAAAGCAGAAGGATAAGAGGGCATCAGAGGATGAGATGGCTGGATGGCATCACCGATGCAATGGACATGAACTTTGGCAAACTCTGGGAGATAGTGAGGAATAGGGAGGCCTGGCATAGTAAAGAGTGGGACATGACTGGGCAACTGAACAACAACCATCCTTCAGTTTCTCAGAAGTTTGGTGTCTTGCTTCAACTAAAACTGCATTTGACATTCAGGGGTTAGAAAAAGTTTAATCAAATCTGTGTCTTTCACCATTATTAATCTTAAAATGGTAAAGAGAAGTACCAAGCTTTTGAAAAACTAAAGAATTGGTGCCCTTTGTCCAAATGAAAGATCGAAAAGTCACTCTTTTTTTAAGTGTATTTTATTTATTTATTTTGTTGTACCAAGTCTTAGTTGCGGCATGTGGGACCTTTGACCTTTGTTGATATATGTGGAATCCTTTGTGTGTGTGTGTGTGTGTGTGTGTGTGTGTGTGTGTGTGTGTGTGTGTGAGCGCGTGCGCACTCAGTCGTGTCCGACTCTTTCTGAGCCCCTGGACTGTAGCCTGTCAGGCTCCTCAGTCCATAGGATTTTCCAGGCAAGAATACTGGAGTGGGTTGCCATTTCCTTCTCCAGGAATCTTTAGTTGTGGCATGCAAATGATTAGTTGTGGCATGTGGAATCTAGTTCCTTGATCTGGGATTGAATCTGGGCCCCCTGCTTTGGCAGCATGGAGTCTTAGCCACTGGAACACCAGGGGAGTTCCTCAAAAGTCCTTTTTAATAGGTCCATTTTTCCTCTCTCAGAGGACATACGAATATCTAGCAACACTCCTCTTCTGGACGGCTAGATCTATACTTTTATTAGAAACAGTATTGTGGTGACAAAATTCCATCCTTATGAGTGGATCAAATCTGGGTTCAGACCTTGCCTTCAGCTTTTATCCATATGATTCTGGTTGAAAGTGGTTCGCCTCTCTGAACTCATCTTCTTATGGGGATAATAAAAGTACCTATCTTTAGTGGCTTTTGTTGAGGATTAAATGAGATAATATATGTGAAGGATCTAGCACAGTATCTAGTATACACATACTAGGGGTTCAGCAAATATTATATATTCTTTCCTACTTGAACATTAGTCTGCTAATACGTAGCAGTTACTCAGATATGCCAGACCTATTTCCAGAGAGTGCGTAGTGGTATGATGTAGCTCGCTATCTGTAGTGACTGGCCTTTTTGCTGCTGCCCAAACTGGGGTAGGGACTACTATAATTATTGTTTAATTTGTGAATGCATCCATCAATCTTAATAAACTTTCTTGTTACTAGGTGGTTGTTGCTTACACCTCCTGAGGTGTCCCTTTGATGTTTGTCATTAATTTAATGAAAGCTCAGTGACATTGTGTGATAAGAAATCAGAATTACCATCGTTTTTCCATTTAACGAATATCTTGCATTCTAAGTAGAACATGTTAACTTGTAGAATTTTTTCCTGCATGTGTTAATGTGAATAGTTTGTGTTTTTGAGGTTTCAACGGTATTCTTAAAGTTTTTATTACTACAGAAACTACACCCTATCCATATACATGCTCCTCCTACCTTCTGAATGCACAGTAATGGGAGATTAGAAAATAGGCCCAGACAACATTAGTAAGATGGTCATCATCATAGAAGGTATTTTGGCTTCTTTCTAGTTTTTCAATTAATGTCTCCTCTCTGCGAGTTTCATTTACGCACTACCCCACCCAACATTCTTCATATGACCTACAAGTATTCTGATTATAACAGCTGAATATAGTGTTAAAATGGCCCTTGGTAGCTCCATTTCAATTTTATCAATGAGTGAAAGTCATGTATCTCATGAAGTCATATTTTAGAAATTTTTCTACAGTAGTTCTTTATAATTAATTGGCCCTGAAGTTCTTAGACTTCTTTCTAGAGCTTCTCAGTTATAAATACTTTTGAACTTCTCAATTATAAAGATTTTTTTTCTCAATATAAAGCCCTTTCTGGTGAGAAAACATTCAATGCCATTGAAACCTCAAAAACACAAACTATTCACATTAACACATGCAGGAAAAAAATCTACAAGTTAACATATTCTACTTAGAATGTTGTTTGTGATAGGAAACTCAAAATTATTATTTTAGTTCTTCAGATCAGACATCCTCATAAGCTGCCGTATCCTTCAATCAATCTCTTAGGCTGGGTTTTAATAATAAAATAAAAATACTAAATAAAATAAATTAAAAAAAATAAATACTTGGTGGGCATTTTTCATGTTCCTTTATCTGTTGGGTATTTCTCTGCCTTTTCATCTTGTTTAGATTGCTGTGTCTGGAGTGGGCTTTCTGTATTCTGGTGGTCTGTGGTTCCTTTTTATTGTGGAGGTTTCACCCAGTGGGTGGGGTTGGACGATTGGCTTGTCAAGGTTTCCTGGTTAGGGAAGCTTGTGTCGGTGTTCTGGTGCGTGGAACTGGATTTCTTCTCTCTGGAGTGCAATGGAGTGTCCAGTAGTGAGTTTTGAGATGGGTCTATGTGTTAGGTGTGACTTTGGGCAGCCTGTATGTTGACGCTCAGGGCTATGTTCCTGCGTTGCTGGAGAATTTGCATGGTATGTCTTGCTCTGGAACTTATTGGCTCTTGGGTGGTGGTTGGTGTCAGTGTAGGTATGGAGGCTTTTGGATGGTCTCTTATCACTTAATGTTCCCTGTAGTCAGGAGTTTTCTGGTGTTCTCAGGTTTTGGGCTTAATTCTCCTGCCTCTGGATTTCAGTCTTATTCTTCCAGTAGTCTCAAGACTTCTCCAACTATACAGCACTGATAATAAAACTTGTAGGTTAATGGTGAAAAGATTCTCCACCGTGAGGGACACCCAGAGAGGTTCACAGATTTACATGAAGAAGAGGAGAGGGAAGAGGGAGATAGAGATGAGCAGGAGGAGAAAAAGGGGGACTCAAGAGGAGAGAGACAGATCTACACAGTTGTCTGTTCCCAAAGTGTTCTCCGTAGCCCAGACACCCACAGAGATTCACAGAATTGGATTGGAAAGAGAAGGGGGAGGGAGGAAATAGAGGTGATCTGAGGGAGAAAATGGAGAGTCAAAAGTGGGAGAGAGTAATCAACACACTCCTGAATAAAAATGGGTACTGAATATTGGATTCTTAAATGCCCAAAATTGATATCAAATCCTGAAAAACAAAGATTAAAAATCTAGAGTAGAGGTTAGACTCTTAAAAATACAATATTAAAAACAAAAGCAAAAAAATTTTAGAAATATATATGAAGTTTGATTTAAAAATAGGGCCTCTTCTTTTTTTTTTTTCCTGAGGTTATAGTGAAATGAAAATGAAAATTAAGGAGTAATAGAGGACTTTAAAAGCAAATAAGAGAAAAAAAAGAAAAAAAGAAAAAAATTTCTAGTTAAAAAAATAGTAAAAATACATGAAAATGAAAGTTAAAGAGTAATGGAGGAGTAATAGGGAATTTTAAAGGAAAATAAAAGAGAAAAAAGAAAAGAAAAAAAAATTTAAGGAAAAATATATCTAGGAATTTCTCTGGAGCTGTTGTGGTCAGTGTGGGTTTGGTTCAGTTTCCGATAGCTCCTCGTTCCAGCTTACACTTCTCGATATCTATAGGCCCCTTCCAGTGTAGTCAGTGTTAACTACAGGGATTTTAATCTGTTGCACCAGTCACTTCTGAAGCGGTTCCCTTTGTTTATTTGGCTTCTGTTTGCAGGTCTCTTCAGTGTCTGATTTCCTCCCTGACACAGTGGGCAGAGGTGGTCTCTTGTTTAGGTTCGCTTGTTCAGTTGTGCTGCAGGGAGGGAGGGGCGCTGCAGACAAATATCACTGGCGTGTGTGGGGAGCACTCACAGTGTTAAAATAAATTAAAATAAATAAATAAAATAAATAAGAAATAAAAATACTAAATAAAATAAAAATACTAAAAATACCTTATCTTTCCCTGTACTATTCTGTTACTTAAAATACCTTATCTAAATGCCAATGAAATTCTCTTCATACCAGAATGTGCTGTATCTGATCTGACTTCTTTTTAAATGGATAAGATTTAAAACTGTTTAGAATGAAGCATTGAGATTGACAAACCATGTTCTTTCATCATCTGCTCTATCTGTTCTTTTATGTTCTCAATATTGCAGTTAAATGCCTTGGCTAACCGAGCAGCTGGGAAGGGGTATGAAAATGAAGACAACTATGCCAATATTCGCTTCAGGTTCATGAGCATTGAGAACATCCATGTCATGCGGAACAGCCTGCAGAAACTCTTGGAAGGTACAAGGATTTCACCTGGGCTAGGCCAGAGTCTAAACAGATCACATAATTATGTAAGCAAAAAGTATGTCTGATTTTGGGGTGAAATATAAAAGCAACCAGGAGAGCCGAATCAATAGGTGATAAGATTTTTGACTCTATTATGAATCCAGTTTGCATAAATAGTATTGAATTATAGCAGTGTTGGTCTGACAAAGGAACTACAATATTTAGTTTCATAACTCTGTGGAGTCCATCTGGGTTTAGTTGCTATGGAAATAATGTATCTGTATAAAATTATAGAGACTGCTATGTAGAGGTGGGTAGATCAACACAAATATAAGTGAATTTGGGATTTATTTCATGTTCCTCATTTAATCTGCTATAAAGAGTCAGTCTAGTTTCATCACTGTGCTGATAAAGGGGGTGAATTTAGACTTCAAAGGAATAAAGCTGCTATCAAGCAATGGGTCATCTGTATAGCTGCAAAATAATTGGGATCAGAATGGGGGCTAGGTGAGATCAGGGCCTCAGAGGACTCTTAAGTCTAGAACATTTCTCCCAAAGCCACTATCCAGGAATTCATGATGTGATATGTCATCTCAGGCACACATTAGGGAAAACCTGCCCTCCTTAAGTGAAGTCCCTGTTCTTCCTTTCCTCAATTTTTACTTATACTGTCTGCCAGGACCTCTCCTTCTCATGACCCTTATCAGATCCTGTCTCCTCAGTCTGCAGCCCTTTTAGGGTATTAGGATTCCTCTTCCTTAGGTCTCTTCCTCCTTTCTTTTTTGTCCCAGAATATTGTATAGTAGAAGAGAACCTTTTGCAGATTTTTTTTGAGGCAAAAGATTGCCCTCTGTTGGATAACCAGTGTAAAATGCATGAAAATTAAAATAATTTTTTTCAACTGTTGAGACAGCACAGAACTGTAAAGGAGTAGATGGTGATGTGGAAGTAGAGACAGATGTTATGGGCTACAGAGTTAGGATGAGTAGGAGGAGTTAGAATGGGGATCAAATGTGTTTTCTAATAGCAGGAGATATGAGTATTTTTCTGTGGATAATAACTCAGTCTTCTGTCTCTCTTCTTTAGAGATTTCTGTGGTCTTGGGGGTGGATTCTATGGATTTGAGAAAGCAGAAAACCAAACTAGGAGAAATGGTAGACTCTAGTCCTAGTACTGTCCCTGATTCACTGTGTGATTTCCAACTAATTATTTAACCTTTCTGTGCCTCAGCTTCCTCATTTACGAAATGGGGATCCACTTTGTCCCCTTTCTTGTTGAATAAACTGAGGTAATTGTGAATTTCAATCTCTGCTTCCTTTTCTACCTTAGTTTGTGAATTGAAAACTCCAACAATGAGTGAATTTCTTAGCGGCCTGGAGAGCTCAGGGTGGTTGAGACACATTAAAGCTATTATGGATGCTGGAATTTTCATTGCAAAGGTAATAATCAGGACTTTAAAGAACTTGCACTGACATAATTATGGGATCTCTTAAAGTAGCAGTTTATCATGGAAAGAATATAAGAAAAAGACACCTGGTTTTTAGATTGAGGTCTGCCACTAATTTACTGTGTGCCCTTGGCAAGTCTCTTTCCTTCTCTAAATATCATCCTCTGTAAAGCAAGATGGTTAGACTAGAGTATAATGACATAACTTTTTTGGGGGGTGGGTACTGAACTCTTTGACAATGTGATTGACCCTCTCCCCTGGAAAAAATGTACATATGGCTATGCATACAGAAAACAGACCTTAATTTCAGAGAGTATACAGACCTCAGATCTCTGGTTAAAAAACTCTTAAATAATATCTCATGGTCCTTCCAACTCAAATACTCTGATGTATCTTTGTGTTGATTCTAAGGTACCAAGTGGAAGTAAGACTGGGTATAAAATAAATGCAGTTTGGTTCTATGGGTTTTCAGAGCTCTGAGTATAAAGCTGAGCTTTCTGATGTCTTTGTATAGGTCTGCCTCTGAATGCAGTCTAAGTAGACTTCATCACTCATTTATGCTGAGTCACTTACTTTCTGATCTTCAGAACCCTGGCTTCTGTATCATTTATTAGGTGATGTTAAAAAAAAAGAAATTTGGAGTGTACGTTTTCTCATTTTGAAATTTTGTTTATATATTCCTACACGAGAACTTCCTCTCTTCACCCCACCCCAGTTATTTGGTAGAAGTGAAGAAAAGGAGAGAATCACTTTTACCACTCTTCTGCCATTTTCTCAGTTGAAGATAAGATTTATAGCCTCTGCCTTAAAAGGTTTTTAAGTGTGTGTATTTAACTATCTTAAATATCTAGCCCTAATGTTTTTCAATTTTCTAGTCCTATTGCCTACATTTTTCATTATGATATATTAGTGCTTACTGTGTGAGCCCCCTAGGTCATTTCAAACCCATTATTCTAGCCATTCTTTATACTGTTCCTTTTTTTGCATGTCCTATACCCATACATTTGTATTTCCTTTCTGAAACTGACTTCATGAGACCAAAGAGTGAGAATAGAGAAGAGGAATAGATTTGATAGGTAGTACAACCTCATAACCATTTGTGAATTAAAATGAATGGATGAAACAAAGATAGGCTCGCGTTTGTACAATTATCCTGTGTTTCCCAACTCCATAAATACTTATATATCCCCAGCTTGAAAAAGTCAGCCTTGAATTTTCTCTGTTGCCCTCCATCTGGTAATTGCCTCATCCTGTCAGCTATCCTCAAGTGTTTCTCAAATCTATCCTTTCTTTCCAGCCTCCGCCTTAAGTACTATATCTTTCTGACTGGTTTACTTGTCTCTAGTAATTGCTCCCCAGTTTGGCCACCAAATTGATTCTAAAGTCATCTTTCTTGAGCAAATATGATAATGTCACTTTAAACTCAAAATCCTCCAATGACTCCCCATTGCCCACAAGACCCTGGCAATCATGAAATCTTGTTATTCTCAAAAACACTATAGTGTCCCTCCCTCTCTCTTTGTCTCTCATTATCTTTATTTATTTTTCTCATTATAAAAGTTATACATGTACATTGTAGAATAAGTAAACAATTCAGAAGTATATAACATAAAATGTGTATATTCCCTGTAGTTTGCCCCCACAATATATGCATCACTGTTAATAGTTTAATGTATGCCTCTAGATCAGCACTATTTGAACTTTCTGTGTTGATGGCTTCCCTTGTGGCTTAGAAGATAAAGAATCTGCCTGCATTACAGGAGACCTGGGTTTGATCCCTGGGTTGAGAAGATCCCCTGGAGCAGGAAATGGCAACCCGCTCCAGTATTCTTGCCTGGAGAATCTCATGGACAGAGGAGCCTAGAGTCATAAAGAGTCAGACATGACTGAGTGAGAGGGTGCTGCCCGATTCATGTGATGTTGGAAATGTTCTGGATCTGTACTAATACAATAGCCACTAGCCACATGTGGCAGTTGTATACTTGAAATGTGGCTAGCGAGAGTAAGGAATTTAAATCTTTATTCAATTATGATTAGTTTAAATTTAAATACCCACTTGTGGCTAGTGACTACTATATGGCACAGTGCAGGTCTAGATTTTCAGCATATATAATTATATATAGGGCTTCCCTGATATCTCACTTGGTAAAGAATTATAACTACATATATATTACTATTATTACTCCTTTGTAAAAGTAAGATTATGTTGTGCATATTTTTCTGCAACTAACTTTTTATACTTTAGGTCAGTTCAATCAGTACTACCTCATTTTTTTTTCAGTGACTATATAATATTCTATTAAGTGAATATTTAAATTTCATTTATTAGGTGATGTTAAAAAAGAAGAAATTTGGAGTGTACATTTTCTCATTTTGAAATGTTGTTTATACATTCCTGCATGAGAACATGCTCTCTTCACCCCACCCCTATTATTTGGTAGAAGTGAAGAAAGGAGAGAATTACTTTTCACCTCTCTTCTGCCATTTTCTCAGTTGGAGATGAGATTTATAGCCTCTGGCTTAAAATATTGGTCCCTGTTAATGGACAATTCAGTTATTCACATTTTTTACAAATGCAGACATTATTGTATCAAATAGCCTTGAACATATTTCTTTATGTGTCGGCATTCTTAAAAGTGGATTTTCAGTTGAAGAGTATGAATATTTCAGACTCTACTAGATGTGGCCTAATTGCCCTTCAACTAGGTTACACCAGTTTCCATTCCCACCAACAATGCCTCTTTCTCTACATAGCCAGCATAGGTTATCATCAGTCTTTTTAATCTTTGCTAATTTGATAGGTAATGCATTTTATGTCTTGTTTTGATTTGCACTTCTTTAATTATTGGTGAAATTAAACATCTTTTCCTGTTTACCAGTGACTTTTCACTCCATGTCAAGCCCTAAGGAAAGAGTGGAGCTGCTATTAGGCCTCTGATAATACTTGAGGTGTTTGGTTAACTGGGAAGTTTAAAAGGTTGAGAACTTTTTTCCAAATTTCTCTAATTCTTGTCTTACAACCTAACTATTTTTCTAGGAATACAATTTTTTTGTACAGTCTATTACAGAGGTTACTCATTTTCCCACACCCCTGAACCTCACAGTCCATGGCAGTTTCAATATTCCCCTTGCTTTTTACAAAACTTGTTCCTCCTTTTAGGTCTGATTCAATTGGCTATTCTGCTCTATACCTCTCCTAGTGGCTCTCTTTTCTCCTCTCAATCCCGGGAGATTTGAATGTCCATGTACAAACCTATAAAACACTCAGCACTGATACAGTTCTTTGAACTTTTATACCCCAGTTCTCATACTTTTACTCCAGCTAACCTGGTTTTTCTGTCCCATGAAGACCTCTGCACTTTTAACTCCATTTTTTTCCACCTTTTCCTACTTTCTTCTCTATGAGGCCAAGACCTAGTGGTATAGCACCTCATCAATTCCACCTTGCCTCTTTTCCCTTCCATTCTACCTACCCTGCTAATCTCATTCATTCTCTGCTTTCTCTGCTTTTATATCCTGACTACTAAACAGTGCTACAAAGGAATAAATCCCATAGCCATGTTAATTTGTATTGAGTTTATGGTGCATAATATTGGTTGGATCCCAGCCCTGTTCCACCAAGCAGATATTTCTAATACGTATTTTACTTTCAAGCTGGCTATAACACTGTTATTTTCCTCTCTATAAGCACATATTCAGACTTGTCTCCATCTTTATAGAAAAATAAAGGTAGTCTCTCATCTTCCCACACAACTATTTTTTGCTCCTTCCTTGCTATCTTAGAGGAAATGGTGCCTCATACCTATATTCTTAATTCCATCCCCTTCTTCTTCAAGGAAACTTTTACCCCTATATTTTCATTCCCACCTCTCTTACATTTTTAACCTTTTCCTTCACTGGCTTCATCCCTCAGAAATATGCTCAACAGTTTTTTTGGGGAGGGAGGCTACACTGGGTCTTTGATGCTGTGAGGACTTTCTCTAGTTGCAGTGAAAGGGAACTACTCTACTTGCAGTGCATGGGCTTCTCATTGTGGTGACTTCTCTTGTGCAGAACAGGCTCTAGGGCTTCAGTAGTTGTGAAACACAGGCTTTGTTGCCCCACAGCATGTGGAATCTTCCCAGACCAGGGATTGAACCCATGTCCTTTGCATTGGCAGGTGGATTCTTAACCACTCGGCCACCAGGGAAGTCAACTCAATACTTTCTTATTCCTAAGAAAAGAATTTTTCTTATCCTTTTCTATTTACTGTTCTCTTTCCTCTTGCTTAGAGCTTTCTTGAAAGTAATTGACCTTCCTTATTTGCACTTGCTCACATCCCTTCACTCTTCGGTTGACTATAATCCAGTTTCCTTCCATACCATTAGTACTCTTCTTGCTGAGTTCTCTAATGACCCCTAACTTGTTGATCTCAAGGTCACTCTTTAACCTTTGTTCTGTTTTCTCCACTCTGCTGCATTTGGCATTGTTATCCCCATTCTCTTTGAACCATTTTTGTAGTCCTGGCCTTAATCCAACTACTATTTCCTGGTTATTTTTCTACCTTTCAGGCTTTTTCACAAGCTGACTCCTTTAATAGCCCTTTCCTTCCTCTACTTTCCCCATAAAAGTTACTGCTTTCTAAGGTCTTCCTTTTCTCACTGTGGTCTCTGTGTGGACAGCACCAGCCATGCAGTTTCCACTTATGATCTCTATTCATATTGTGGTCACATCTATACTTTGGCTCAGTTTCCTCGTTATCCTGGACTCCAGACCCACATATACAGTTGTCCACTGAATGTCCCATTGGACATCCCCCAACTACCTCAGACTCTCCATGGCCTCAAATGAAACCTTATCTACTCTGAACACTAACTAAAACTTGTCTCTTCCTCTGTGTTTAGTTCAGGCTAATGGTATTGTCATCCACTTAGTTATTACTAAATGACACATTTAAGAGTCATTTTTGACTTTCCCCTCTCCTTCATCTCACATCTCTTCTGTCTATATGTCCTATTAAAAATTTTATTCTTAACATCCCTCTTATCCTTTTCAGCCCCACTGCTACCGCCTTTATTCAGCTGCATATTGCCTTTCACAATTTTAGTGGCTTTTTGACTGATCTTTCTAAATTCAAACTTATTCCTCTTATTCTCCTTATTGTCACCATAGTGAGTACATCTGATCATGGCACTTCCCTGCTTTTAACACTCCAGCGACTCCCTATTGCCACCAGATAAAGTGCACACTTGTCAGTCTGAACCTTGCCCTCCTGGCCAGACTTGTCTCTCCTCACTTTTAGTGTAGCCTCAACCACCAAGCTAGTTAATAATTCCTCACCTATGCCATGCCTCCTTGCCTTTGTAAATATTGTCAGATTATGCCCCCTGCATGGAATATCCATTCCTCCTGGTCTATCTGACAAATGTCTACTCATCTGACAAGGCCCACTTTAGTTGTCTCCTCTTCTTTAGTTATTATGTGCCTTTGTTGTATCTGGTGTTAACTTTCATTGTTTTAGTTATCATTGGTTTGTAGTCATTCATTTAAATGTTTGTCTTTTTTGTATCCCCAGTGCACACTATAATGCATCTTGTATAGTCACTTGGTAGTTATTGGCTAGGTGAGTAGATGAATGAATGAGTGAATAAATGACCTTCTTCTTCCTCACCTGAGAAAATCCTACATTTTCTTCAAGGCTCAAGCTTCCCTGGATCCTACAAAAGGCTACATTACCCTATAGCATCAGTTTTTCCACTGCATTGTATTTATTTACCTTTGGTAATCCTGAATAGTTTGCTCATTGAAGGCAGAAACTGAGTCTCATCTTTGTATCTCTAATCCTTAGCATATACATGACATAGAGGGATACATAATTAAGTGCTAGAATGAATAAGTGAATGCTCAATAGCTCCCATTGCCGAAATTGCTCAGGTTGAGTAACTGCCCATATTTTTACATCATTCTGATTATATAGAAACTTACCTAAGACAGGCAAACTTCTCCACCATAAGTTAGAAGTATTTATATTAGTAAGACTAAATGGCTAAAGATTCCGAAGGAAATTACTGTCAGGTCTGGGACTGAGATGCAGAACTGTCCTGTTTTTGAGCGTGAATTCTTCCTCTTGCCCACTCCTCTCTCTAATAATTGATCCATGTCTTCTTTGGAAGTTTTATAAATGTAGATCTTCTTTTGTTTTTCTTTTTACACATATCATGTGTTGGTTTTGATTTTCTTTTCCTACTAGGTAAGCTCACCTTCTGTTACATTTCTTTATTTTCTTTTTCATTCCCCATGTGTGCATGCTCAGTTGTGTCTTACTCTTCACAACCTTATGGACTATAGCCTATCAGGCTCCTCTGATTCTCCAGGCAATCCTATGGACAGAGAATAGTGGAGTGGGTTGCCATTTCCTTTTCCAAGGTCATTCCTTACATAGGATACCCATATTATGAGAAGAAATTAATGTAGCCCAGTTAAGACCAAGTTCTCTGCTGTATTGATGGTAACTGTATATAATTAACCCGGCATGCTATGTAAAAGTTGTTTATGCTACTTTTTGCCTTTGTCTTTACAGGCAGTGAAGGTAGAAAAGACCAATGTCTTAGTCCATTGTTCTGATGGGTGGGACCGTACAGCACAAGTCTGCTCTGTGGCCAGCATCCTCCTAGATCCATTTTACAGGACATTCAAAGGACTCATGGTAAGAGAGCAGTGATTGGATTTTACCTTGCACAAGGGGCGATTATGAATAGATCAAACATAAACTCTCAACCAACTTGTTTTCTATAAGAAAGAGGTCTACAAAAACAGCTCTGTTTTTCAGTTTAGCTTCTTTCCACTAAAGTAGGCATTTACAGTCTACATAATTTCCACTGCACACTCAACATAGTTTCTTACCCATTAGAACTTAAGTTGGATATAATAGGCTGTTTGGTGCAAGGTAAAGGAAAGACTCAAAAAGTTAACAAAGTTTACTGGATGGTTGTTAAATAAGCAAACTGATGGGCTCATCATCTTCAGTGTCAGCTATCTTGATGTCAGACACATGATTGTTTTCTGGTGCTGAATCGAAAACTTTTTACTTTGTCTTTCTATGAAACAGAACTTACAGTAGGAGTTTATCCTCATTTTTCTTTTGAAAGTGCTTTATATTTTTTAATGGTTGAAATGCTTTTATACCAAGATTTGTTCTTGGTACAAACTCAAATACTGCCTTTGGATTCCTGTTTCTTCATAGGTTGAATTTAATAAGTTTATCAAGATTTAGTTATGACTCATATGTCCTGTCACACATTATGTAAAAGCCAAAGAAAATATGACAGTGAATACAAATCCAGAATTATTTCTCCTGAGAGCTTTGAAATTTGAAGACAGCCTTTATAGTCCTTTAAAGGAAATCCAAATTACTTATTTATCATTTGGGAAATTAACTTTATGATTATTCAACACAAATTTGTACAAAGTTCACTTCAGCAAAGTGTTTTGATACTTTATAGGTATGATGAATTAATTTTATGATTTTTCTAATGCAAGGTTTTCTTTTTCTATAAAAATGAAGTTCCTGATAGAGAAGGAATGGATATGCATGGGCCACAAGTTCTCCCAAAGGTAAAATTATCCTCATTTTAAAGGTAGAGGCTAAGGAGAATTCAGTAGGGTGAGATTTATCAAAACCCTGATATGTTCTTGTGTAAGAAGGAAGATTATAAGTTGAACATGGCATGAATCTCTTTTCATCAAGAAACACATATTCCATACACAATGCTAGGGAACTAGGGACACGGGTGTAACTAGACTATTATATCTGCCTTCAAAGTGAAACAAATGATTATATCCAATCATTAAATATTTCAAGGAAGAATAGACATCACAGGCCACAGAAGAAAAAGAGCTTAACTGTGTTTGAAGAACACAAGATAGGCTTCCAGGAATAGGCACTATTTAAGGATGAATTTTAGGGACTGAATAGGAGTTTGCTAGAGAGAACAGTGAGCATTCAGGTAGAGGGAGTAATATCTAATGCAATGCAACTTTTAATCTTTTATAATAAAAAAGGCATTTGCACATTTCTGTTCTTTGGTAAGAGGTGGATGCAAGGACTTATATTTATTTAGTGATCTAATGCTGCTATAAGTCAGACAGCCTCACTGAGACTTTGTGTGTTATGAGAATAAAAGATGTTTACCAAATACCTAACAATATGCTGTAAACTATGTGAGACACTGAGCTAATAACAAAGGCACATAAAATATGAGTTTTACCCTCAAAGAAGTTGCTATTCAAGTCTTAGTATCCTACATTGGTGTGTATCCATTTAATTTCTTTGATTACCACTCTCTAGCTATTTGGATCCCTCTATTTGTTCTTCTTTTATCAACAAACTTTGGTCCAGGCAGTATGCCAGGTTTTGAGGGGACTGTATTGGACCAGATGTGTTTGCTGTCCCTTCTTTTATAGAAAATAAAATCAGTGATGACAGCATAGTATGATTTGGGCTTCCCAGGTAGTGCTAGTGGTAAAGCACCGGCCAGCCAGTGCAGGAGATGTAAAAGATAAGGTTTTGGTCCCTGGGTTGGGAAGATCTCCTGGAGGAGAGGATGGCAACCACTCCAATATTCTTGCCTGGAGAATCCCATGGACAGAGGAGCCTAGTGGGCTACAGTTCATATGGTCACAAAGAGTCAGACACAACTGAAGCGACTTAACACACACACATAGTATGATAACTGCTACAAGGGAACCTTATCCATTCTGTGCAAAGGAAAATTCCTAGAACTGGTGGTATTTTAGAACATTAAGAAGATGAGGTTGATCTATTTTTAGGTTTTGAGAAATCTCTGTACTATTTTTCACTCTGGTTGCACCATTTTATATTACCACAAACAAGTAGGATGTTTCCCTTTTCTCCATATCCTTGGTTAGTATTTATTGTGTTTCTTTTTGAGTTTCTTTTTGGGTATATATCTGAGAAAAAACAAAAGCATTAATTTAGAAACATACAATGCACCCCCATGTTCATAGCAGCATTATTTACAGTTGCCAAGGTGTGGAAACAACCTAAGTGTCCATCAATAGATGAATGGATAATATATATATATACATTACACACACACACACACACACACACACACACACACACACACACAGTGGAATACTACTCAGCCATAAAAAGGAGTGAAACTTTGTCATTTGCAGCATCATGGATGGACTTTGGAGGGCATTATGCTAAGTGAAATGAGTCATACAGAGAAATACAAATACTGTATGATATCACTTGTATGTGGAATCTAAAAATTCACAAACTAGTGAATATAACAAAAAACTAGCAGACTCACAGATATAGAGAACAAAGTAGTGGTTAGGAAGAAACTAGGGAAGAGGGGTAAAGAGAGGAGTAAAACAGGGGTAGGAAATTTTTAAGAGGGTTATGAAATTATATGAAATCATGTGTCTGAAACTGGTGAAAATTATAAAGCACTATAGATTTAAAGAATCTTTCATGCAAAAAAAGTTTTAAAAAATAAGATTGAAGATTTGTGCAAAACAAAACTACAATAAGATATCACCTCACACCAGTCAGAATGGCCATCATCAAAAAATCTACAAACAATAAATGCTGGAGAGGATGTGGAGGAAAGGGAACCCTCTTGCAAAGTTGCTAGGAAAGTAATTTGATACAATCACTATAGAAGACATTATGGAGATTCCTTAAAAAACTAGGAAAAAACTACCATATGACCCAGCAATCCCACTACTAAGCATATACCCTGAGGAAACCAAAATTGAAAAAAGTCATATGTACCCAAATATTCATTGCAGCACTATTTTTTTTATTGTTGCTCTCATTCTTTTTTTTTTCAATTTTTTTATTGTAGTGGTTTTTCCCATACATTGACATGAATCAGCCATGGATCTACATGTGTTCCCCATCCCGATCCCCACTCCCACCTCCCTCTCCATCCCATCCCTCTGGGTCTTCCCAGTGCACCAGCCCTGAGCACTTGTCTCATGCATCCAGCCTGGGCTGGTGATCTGTTTCACCCTTGATAGTATACTTTTTTCAATGCCGTTCTCTCTGAACATGCCATGCTCGCCTTCTCCCACAGAGTCTAAAAGTCTGTTCTGTACATCTGTGTCTCTTTTCCTGTTTTGCATATAGAGTTATCGTTAACATCTTTCTAAAGTCCATATATATGTGTTAGTATACTGTAATGGTCTTTATCTTTCTGGCTTACTTCAGTCTGTATAATGGGCTCCACTTTCATCCATCTCATTAGAAATGATTCAAATGAATTCTTTTTACTGGCTGAGTAATATTCTTTAGTGTATATGTACCACGTCTTCCTTATACATTCGTCTGCTGATGGGCATCTAGGTTGCTTCCATGCCCTGGCTATTATAAACAGTGCTGAGATGAACATTGGGGTACATGTGTCTCTTTCAGATCTGCTTTCCTCGGTGTGTATGCCCAGAAGTGGGATTGCTGGGTCATATGGCAGTTCTATTTCCAGTTTTTTAAGGAATCTCCACACTGTTCTCCATAGTGGCTGTGCTATTTTGCATTCCTACCAACAGTGTAAGAGTGTTCCCTTTTCTCCACACCCTCTCCAGCATTTATTGCTGGTAGACTTTTGGATAGCAGCCATTCTGACTGGTGTGTAATGGTACCTCATTATGGTTTTGATTTTCATTGCAGCACTATTTACAATAGATAGGATATAGAGCAACCTAGATGTCCATTGACAGATGAATGGATAAAGAAGCTGTGGTGTGTATTTACAATGGAATATTAGTCATAAAAAAAACACATTTAAGTCAGTTCTAATGAGGTGGATGAACCTAGAGCCTATTATACAGAGTTAAGTAAGTCAGAAAGAGAAAAAAAACAAATGTCATATATTATCACATATATATGGAATCTAGAAAGATGGTACTGATGAACCTATTTGCAAGGAAGAAAAAGAAATGCAGACGTAGAGAACAGACTTATGGACATTGGGTGGGGGGAAGGAGAGGGTGGGATGAAAGTAGGGAGTAACATGGAAACATATATACTACCATATGTAAAATAGATCAGTTCAGTGGCTCAGTCATGTCTGATTCTTTGTGACCCCATGGATAACCAATAGGAATTTAAAGTAGATAGCCAATGGGAATTAGCTATATGACTCAGAGAACTCAGATTGGGGGTCTGTAACAACGTAGAGTGGTGGGATCGAGTAGTAGGTGGCAGGGAGCTTCAAGAAGGAGGGGGCATATGTATACTCATGGTTGATCCATATTGATGTATGGCAGAAGCCGAATACAATACTGTAAAGCAGTTGTTATTCAATTAAAAATAAATAAATTTTAAAGAAGATTAAAGATTTGAAAGAAATAGTGGGTGTTTTATAGAATGACTCCTTGGGAGAAAAGAGAGATAAAATCTTCCTTCCAAATGAAAACATTTAGCTTGAGGTATAACCAAGAACCACCCTTACAGCAGAAAGCAAAGAGGAACTAAAGAGCCTCTTGATGAAAGTGAAAGAGGACAGTGAAAAAGCTGTCTTAAAACTCAACATGTGAAAACCTAAAACCATGGCATCTGGTCCCATCACTTCATGGCAAATAGATGGAGAAAGAATGGAAACAGTGAGAGACCTTATTTTCTTGGGCTCCAAAATCACTGCAGATGGTGACTGCAGCCAAGAAATTTAAAGATGCTTGCTCCTTTAAGAAGAAAATTAAGTCCTTGCTCCATAGAAAATCTATAACCAACCTAAACAGCATATTAAAAAGCAGATACACTACTTTGCTGACAAAGGTCCATCTAGTCAAAGATATGGTTTTTCCGGTAGCCATGTATGGATGTGAGAATTGGACTATAAAAAAAGCTGAGTGCCAAAGAATTTATGCTTTTGAACTGTGGTGTTGGAGAAGACTCTTGAGAGTCCCTTGGACTGCAAGGAGATCTAACCAGTCCATCCTAAAGGAAATCAGTCCTGAATATTTATTGGAAGGACTGATGGTGAAGCTGAAACTCCAGTACTTTGGCCACCTGATGTGAACTGACTAACTGGAAAAGACCCTGATGCTGGGAAATATTGAAGGCAGGAAGAGAAGGGGATGACAGAGGATGAGATGGTTGGATGGCATCACCCACTCGATGGACATGAGTTTGAGCAAGTTGGTGATGGACAGGTAATCCTGGTGTGCTGCAGTTTATATGGTCACAAAGAGTTGGACATGACTGAGCAACTGAACTGAACTGATAATTAAGAACACCTCTTCAGTGGAGACTACATGGAAGGACAGGTGGAGAAGGAATTAAGTTTGTAAATGTCAAAGGCAGAAGTTAGATACTTTTACTTGATGGCCTTCCTCTTTTTCATTAATACTGTAGACATCAATGTGAAATGTGTCAGGGTTACAGAAGATAGCTTAAAATTTGCATGAGCTGTAAGGGTTAATGGGAAAACTGTATTAAGGATATACATAAAGGTTGCTGCTGCTGCTGTTTAGTTGCTTTGATCGTGTCCAACTCTGTGCGACCCTATGGACTGCAGCCCCCAGGCTCCTCTGTTTATGATGATTCTGTCCATGGGGATTCTCCAGGCAAGAATACTGGAGTGGATTGCCATGTCCTCCTCCAGGGGATCTTCCCAACCCAGGGATTGTACCCAGGTCTCCTGCATTGCAAGCCGATTCTTTACTGTTTGAGCCACCAGGGAAGCCAAAGGATACTGGAGTGGGTAACCTCTCCCTTCTCCAAGGGATCTTCCAGACCCAGGAATTGAACCTGGGTCTTCTGCATTGCAGGTGGATTCTTTACCAGGTGAGCTATCAGTGAAGGCCATTAATAAAAGTTACTTGGGAGCAAGTAAGTTCCAGCTGAGTATGGAGACTTAAGTTCTCAATTTGCCTGGTTTTAAATTTTTCTCAAGCAGTATTCATCAGTAAGGATGTGGAAGCAGAGAACGTAGCTTTGTTCCTCAGTGGTTGGATTTTGAAGGAAAATAATGACAAAAAAGACCAGAAAGTTTGAAGAAAATGGGGAAAGAATAGTTGATGGGGGCAGATCTAGAATATAGGGTGGTAAGGAAGCTAGGAGGAATCTGGCAAGTAGAGAGGTCCAAAGATGAGGGCTGGATGAGGTAAGATGAGCAGCTTTTTGAAATATAATATGTGGTGACCAGAGCAGACTATTGAGATTAAGGTTTCAAAGTGGAGGAAGCACCTTTAGCTAACATCAGGAAACATGGTGGATGTCATGGATACACAAGCCTGATGTGAAGTAGATGTAAAGATCAGTGAAGTACATTAGTTAGTTAAAGAGTCTAAGCTATTGTAGGTTATCTGCATCTACTCCAAAGATCAGTACTTACAACTGGAGTCAGATTCTTCAGAAAATGTAGAGAAGTGGCCCAAATATTGTAGAAGACAACACTGAGGAAAATGAATGAGCATGACCCATAATGGAAGTATTTTTAAGAGAGTAAAAGGAGTAGTTGAATGCAGTGGTAACGAGGAGAAAATTGATCCCACTTCAGCTTTCTTTTAGGATTATGATACATGAAGAGTGAATGATGAGCTTTCTCCATTTTATTTGGGCCCCAAGAAGTAGTGTCCTTGGTGAGGTAGATTTCGATTATATCAAAAGGTAGAACATTCAGTGTAGAAGCTAAGGACGCCATGTATGTTTACAGTGGATTAGGGCTTCTAGTGGATGGTAGAGTTGGGAAAGAGCATCATGGGAGAGAAAACATTAAACAGTTCTGGGATGAGATTTTTTCATTCATTTTTACACCAGGCACTATCCAGTAAACAACATAGATATGATCTTTGATCACATGGAGCTAAATGTAGCTGGTAAATTAATTGAAATTAAATATACTTGAAAATTCAGTTCCTTAGTCATACTAGACACATTTAAAGTGCTTAATAGTGACTGCCATATTGGACAGCACAAATATGGAACATTTCAATCATTGTAGAAAGTTCTATTGTAGAGGATGTAAAAGGAAATAGAATAGATTACCAAAGGGTTTACAATCTGGATAATAGTGAAAGTTGCTGGTGGCTAAGAGGTCCACTGGACTTAATGAACTTTGAGATTCTAAGTGGTATTTTGGCATTACGTATTTCCTTACCAATTCCATCACAGAAACAGAAGGCAACCTTGCTATAGCCTGTTCCAAACAGTGTAATCCCTGATGTTAATCATTGTCTTTCTTTACCTTTACTTGTATCTCTTAGGTGTGGCCACCTGGATGGGGACTCTAAAGAAGTATCCCCTATTTTCACACAGTTCCTAGACTGTATCTGGCAATTAATGGAACAATTTCCATGTGCCTTTGAGTTTAATGAAAAGTTCCTGCTGGAAATTCATGACCATGTTTTCTCCTGCCAGTTCGGGAACTTCCTTGGAAACTGCCAGAAGGATCGAGATGATCTGAGGTGAATTCAATTTGTGAGAAAACACTGAATAGGGAGAGGAGATCAGTGTAAATTTACCAGTCACCCTGAATTTGGGACAGCAGTTCACAAAAGGGGAGGAGAGGACAACTATAAAAATAATTTTTGAAGCATAAAACACTTGGAATTTTATGGGTAGTCCTCAAAACCTTAGATTCTTTATCTGTGAAATAGGGATAATGATACCTATTTTTCAGATCTATCATGAGGAACCAATAAAGCAATGGATGTGCAAAGATTTTATAAGGAATGAGTGTGTGAGTAGTCATTAGCTACTGTCCTTTATCATTTGTGTCTAAGATCACTAAATAGCAGGTCATAGGCCAAGTCTGGCTTAACAGGCATATTCTGTTTGATCTGTAGAGTATTTTTTAAACTATTAATTAGTAGTCAGCATTTAAATATCTTAATATTTCATATAAAAATCCAGTTGTTACAGGATTTTTTCCTCAATCAAAAAGCCATTGTGGCAAGATATTCTGCAAAATCAGGAACTCTGGCAGTACTAGACCTGCATTTTCTAATGGCAATAATCATCTGGAGCTGAATAATAGCTTGCTCCATTTGAATGAAGCAAGCTCACTCTTGTTTGCTTGCCACAATTCTCACTACTCTCTGTAGTTTATTCTCAGCTCACTTCATATGTTACTTCCCCAGCTCCTATAGGCACTTGAATTGGTACCAGACATAAACTCTAACATCCTTGCAATGTATAAAATGTAAATAATTTTTGAAGTTGACAAGACAGAGTTTCTGGGAATAGCATTCTCCTTGTTTTAGAGTCAGAGAAAAAGAATAGAGAAGGGAAGTGACTATCTCACAATCCATTCTTGTTTCATAGTTGTTAGCTGAGTAGCAATTAGCTCAAGTTCTCAGGCCCTGATATGATATATCCTGGATAATTCAGATGATATCTCTAATTCTGTTTTCTTGTCAACACTGAGAACAGTGGTGAATCTTCCTGCTTCAAAATCTGTAGTTACTTAGTAGCTTCTGCACACATTTCTATTTCATTTTGCAACGAGAACTTTCTTATCCTCTTCCCAAATGCTTATAAACACATTTGTTCTGTCTCTGACCTGCTTTTCTAGCACTAAAATCAGGGATCTTTTCCATATACTTTTTCTCCACCCTCTTAAAATGAGGCTAATATATCCTCAACCCACTCCTCACACAAATCTGAATCTCCATGTAAAAGTATGAAAGTTGAAAATTTTAACATATGCTTTAATAGTGGTTATATAAAACAAGCAGACATATCATTCATCCGTGAAAGAAAAGACATGGACTCTAGGATCAGAGAGACCTAGGTTCAGATTTTGGCTCTGTCACCTACTAGCTGTGTGACTTTTTGCAAATTAATTTTTGTCTCATTTTCTCATTATTATTTTGGGAATAAAATAACTCACAAGGTTTTATTATATAATTTAATAGGGTATTTTAAGTAGAGTCTGGGACAGTGTTTGACACATGGTAAATACTCAACAAATACTACTTATCTTACCTCTGCAAGATTTTTTTTCTTTTTTCAACCAACAACAAATGAGAAAGATGCATATACAGTTCCTTTGGCCGCAGTGAAATGGTCTGAGAATTCTAAAAGTTACAAGACTACAATTTTAAGTCATATACCCCATATCACTTCTCTTTTTTGTCCTCCTAGAGCTTTCTTTGACACTGTATGAGCAAATGAACTTCCCATGCGTGGATGCACAGCAGCTTTCACTGGGGACAATGAATTCCATGCTTTTTTGTGTTAACTAAGTCGCTTCCCAGGGACTCAGCTAAGGGATAAGAAGAATCAGTCTTTTAATATAAATATCACAGTCAGTGCTGTTCACCTAGGATAACTCACAAATATTTGCTAATATAAATTGCTAAATTGTCTTTCACTGTCTTATACCTTCTGAGTGGAGGAGAAGCTGGCTTGAAATAAAATATAGAAAAGCCAGAAATTTACCTCTTGTCTGTTAATTTACCAGATTTTTTAAAAGTAATTCTAGATTTTTTAAAAACTGGAAAGGTTATTCGTAGAATCCAAGATTTGGAAGAGACCTTAAAGATCACATTATGCAAATGAGAAAGTAGGCCCAGAAAGGGCTAGGGACATCACTAAGATTACATCACTACTCTGTGGCAGAGAAAGTATCTCTACATATATACTTAGCATGTTTCTCTTCAATGTGGAATTCTTTCTAATCTCTTTAAAAATGGATAAGTTGAAGCCCAGATAATTTGTTACGCTATCATTCTTCATTACAATTTATTTTCGTTTTCCTTATATCATATCCTAGCCCTCTGTCTTAAGTTAGGTTACTTGTTAATAGAATTTAGATGATTGTCAAGTTCAGCAGATCTATTGATGTTACTTGCTGCTTTTAATTTTTTGGCTTGTTTTTCTTTTCTTACAGAATATATGAGAAAACCCATTCAGTGTGGCCTTTCTTGGTTCAGAGGAAACCAGACTTCAGGAACCCTCTTTATAAAGGCTTCACTGTGTATGGGGTACTCAATCCTAGTACTGTGCCGTACAACATTCAGTAAGTTCCTAAGCTGTTCATCCTTTCTTAGAACAAGCTCCAGCTTCTTTGCCTCTCCTTGTATAGCTGACATCATCTCCATAACCCAAGCTATGGAGTAGGACATTCTCTCCCAGATTACCCATTCCTTGCTGCCTCTGAAAGCAAGACCACACTCCCATTGGTTTTCATGGCTTTGTAGTTACTTGCTTAGGGAAATAAACAAGAAACAATAGTTTATTTATAGTAGTACAACCAGTCAAGATGTAGGTTGTTTCATTGCTTTTAGTCTTTCCTTACGTATTTCTCTTCTTTCTTATCCTTTTCCCCAACAAAGAGAAGGAAAAACAGAGAAAGAGAATGTGCTGATATAGTTTGTTCTACTTTCCCCACAAAGTGTTAAGTACAGGGTGCCATGCTCACTGACCACAATTCAATGAGTACAAGACAGAACTGAATGCATTTATTAAATCTAATGGTTTATTTTGTATATTCTGTAGGATTTTATATATGTAAGATCATGTTATTTCTAAATAGATATTGTTTTAATTATTCCTTTCCAATTTGGATGCCTTTTATTTTCTTGCCTAATGCCTTATGTAGAACTTCCAGTGCTGAATAGAAGTAGTGAAAGCGAGCATCCTTATACTGTTCCTTATCTTAGGAGGAAATTTTTCAGTCTTTCTCCATTGAGTATGTTATAGTTTTGTTTTGTTTTACAAATGACCTTTATCATGTTTAGGACATTCCATTCTGTTCCTAGTTTGCTGAGTGCTTTTATGATGAAACTGTTTTAGATTATATCAAATGTTTTTTTCTGAATCACATTGAGATGCAGATGATTATGTATTATTTTCTCCTTAATTTTATTTTTTGTTTGTTTTTGTTTGGCCACACTACATGGCTTGAGGGATCTCTGGGATTGAACCCAGGCCATGGTAGTGAAAGCTCAGAATCCAGGGCATTAGGCCAGAGAATTCCCTCTCATTAATTTTGTTAATGTGGTGTGTAGCACTGATTTTCAGATGTTGAACCAGCCATGCTTTCCTAGGGTGAATCCCACTTGGTCATGGTATATAATCCTCTTAATATGCTGCTGCATTTGGTTTCCTAGTATATTGTTGAGGACTTTTGCATCTATATTCATAAAGCATATTAATCTACAGTTTTGTTTTCTTATAATGTCCTGGTCTGTCTTTGATATCAAGGTTATAGTGACCACATAAAATGAGCTGAAAGTGTTCCATTCTCTTTAACATTTGGAATAGTTTGAAAAGGATTATTGTTAATTCTTCAATGTTTAGTAGAAGTCACCAGTGAAGCCATCTGTTCCTGAATTTTTCTTTGTTGGGAATTTTTTGATTACTGAATCAGAAAATGTTATAGGTCTGTTCAAATTTTTTAATTTCTTGAGTCATTTTTGGAAGTTTGTGTGTTTCTAAAATTTTTTCCATTTCATCTAATTTGTGGGCATGCAATTGTTCATGACTTTCTCTAGTATTTTTCTTTATTGCTATAACTTCAGTAGTAACATCCCTAACTTAATTTATGATTTTAGTAATTTGAGACTTTCCTCTTTTATTTTTTGAGGCCAAAATACCTTCGTTTAATGTCAAAAGCATCTTGTACATAAACTGGATAATACATATTAAATGATGTATTTCGGTTAGTTTTGGGAGTTTGAGGGGCATTTTTCCAGTTTTATTGTGATATAATTGACATATAACATGGTGTAAGTTTAAGGTATATAATGTAATGATCTGATACATGTAAATACTGTGAAATGCTCACCACAACAAGATCAGTTAGCACATCCTCTACTCATACAGTTACCATTTTGCTGTTTGCTGTTATGGCGAGAACATTAAAGCTCTACAATCATAGCAAAATATGGAATGCTTCACAAATTTGCATGCTATTATTTTACACCTGTCATGCTAACCCCTGTATCATTCTAATTGTATTATATATGCTGCCAAAATGAACACCCTGTCATTGTTTTTAATCAGTTTAACTTAATATTTTATTGAATTTATTAATCTTTTCAAAGAACCAACTTTAGTTTTGTTGATTTTGTCTATTTTATAATCTCTATTTGATTTATCTCTGTTTTAATCTTTATTATTTCTTCCCTTATGCTAACTTTGGGTTTAATTTGCCCTCCCTTTTTAGCTTCATAAGGTGTAAGATTAAGTGGTTCTTTTTTAATGAATGCATTTACAGTTATAAATTTCCTTTTTAGCAGTTCTTTCTCTGTATCCCATAAATTTTGGTATATTGTATTTTTGTTTATATCAATCCCAAAGTACTTTTTAATTTGAATTTCAGATAGTTCAGTTCAGTCGCTCAGTCGTGTCTGATTTTGCGATCCCATGGACTGCAGCATGCCAGGCCTCCCTGTCCATCACCAACTCCTAGAGTTTATTCAAACTCAGATAAACAAACAATAATTTACCTAAAGAGCTTAGATCCTTTAATGCACTTAAATACAGTTCTTAAATGTATACACAAATGGGTTAAAAGTTAGAGTTAAAAATTAAAAATAAGAAACAATGAATTGGGGCATTCAAGGCACAGCCTTTCTCTCCTCCCTAAGTGTCATCTTCACCCAGGTGAGACTCTCTGAACATCCATTTTCCCATGCAGGTTCCAAGAAGCAGTCAGTTAAATCACTTTATTCCATAAAAGTCCACAAAATAGATTCTAAGGAAGGGGATATGTGGGTTGAAGGGAATGTATGTATTTAATTTGTTATAGGTGGTGCCAGATTGAGCCTGACCCTCTTGTAGGGTAGAAGTACTGCTTCTCCCTTTCTCTCTGCAGGCAGAGATTGACTTCCCAGCCCAATCCCTCTATCTGCTTCCTTCAAGAAACAGCTCTGTCCTTTTTCCTGACCCTTTTCATCAACAATGTAAGGTTCTAACCAGTGCTGTGATGAGCTATATCGGAGCCTGTTGCAATGGGCCTATATATGTGCTTACCGTCTCCTACTACCCTGTTCTCTGTATCTTTGTGTTTATCTTTTTTGTTTGTTTTTCTTCTTATTCCACATATGAGTGAAATCATATTTGTCTTTCTCCATCTGACTTATTTCACTTAGCACAAAACCCTTAATATCCATCCATGTTGTCACTAATGGCAAGATTTTGCCTTTTTATGGCTGAGTAGTATCCTGTTGTATATATATGTTTTGTGTGTGTATTTGTGTGTGTGTGTGTGTGTGTGTGTGTGTGTGTGTATATATATTCTATTCTTTATCCATCAGTCAATGAGCAGTTGTGTTGTTTCTATGCCTAGGCTATTGTAAATAAATCTGCAACATACATAGGGGTGGTGTGTATCTTTTCAAAGTATTATTTTTGCATTCTTCATATGAATACCCAAAAGTAGAATAGCTGGATTATATAGCATTTCTTTCTTAACTTTTTGAGGTATCTCCATACTGTTTTCCATAGTGGATGCATCAAATTACATTCCAATCAGCAGTGCACAAGGGTTCACTTTTCTCTATATCCTTTCCAACACTTGTTTCCTGCCTTTGATACTAGCCATTCTTATGGGTGTGAGGTGATATATTGGGGTTTTGATTTGCACTTCCCTAATAATTAGTGATGTTGAACTTCTTTTCATGTGCCTGTTGGCTATCTGTATGTCTTCTTTAGAAAAATGTCTGTTCAGATCCTCTGCCAATTTTTTTAAAAAATCAGGTTGTTTATTTTGTTGTTGCTGAGTTATATGAGTTCTTTATATATTTTACATATTAACCCCATATCATATATTTGCAAATGACTTGTCCCATTTGGTAAGTTGTCCTTTCATTTTGCTGATGATTTCCTTTACTGTACAGAAGCTTTTTAGTTTGATGTAGTCCCATTTGTTTATTTTTGCTTCTGTTTTCCTTGCATGAGGAGAAAGATATTGCTAAGACCAATGTCAAAGAGCATACTGCCTATGTTTTCTTCTAGGGGTTTTATAATTTCAGGTCTTATACTCCAGGATTTGATCCATTTTAAGTTGAATGTTATGTCTGCTATGGGTTAGTGGTCTAGTTTCCTTTTTTTTTCCCACATGTGGATTGTCCTGTTTTCCTAATGCCATTTTTTGAGGAGACTACCTTTCTCCATAGTATGTTCTTTACTCTTTTATCATAAATTAATTGTCCATATGTGCATGAGGTTATTTTTGTGCCCTCAATTCTGTTTCATTGTTCTATGTATCTGTCTTTCTGCCAATGCTGTGATGTTTCTGATACTGTAGCTTTGTGGTATGCTTTGATTTTGGGTTTTTTTTTGTGTGTGTGTGTGTGGTGTGCTTTGAAATCAGGGAGGGGGATACTTTCACTTTGTTCTTTTTCCTCAGAATTTATTTTGCTATTTAAGTGAAAAGTGAAAGTGTTAGTTGCTTGTTTGTGTCTGACTCTTTGTGACCCCATGGGCTGCAGCCAACCAGACTCTTCTCTCCATAGAATTCTCCAGGCAAGAATACTGGTGTGGGTAGCCATAGCCTTCTCTGAGAATCTTCCCAACCCTGGGATTGAACCTGGGTCTCCTGTATTGTAGGCAGATTCTTTACCATCTGAGCCACCAGGGAAGCCCAGGATGCACATAGATTTTAGGATATTTTGTTTTATTTCTGTGACAGATGTCATCAGAATTTTGATAGGGATTGCATTGAATCAGTAGATTGATTTGGTAATATGGACATTTTAGTAATGTTAATTCTAATCCACAGCCATGGAATGTCTTTACATTTCTTTGTGTTTTGTTAAGTTTCTTTCAACAGTGTCATAGATTTTAGCAAACTGGTCATTCACTTCCTTAGTTAAATTTATCCTTAGGTATTCTTTCTGTTGTGATTATAAATAGGATTATTTTCTTTTTAATTTCTTTTTCTGCTTGTCTGTTGATAAGGTGTAGAAACTCAGGAGATTTTGCATATGAATTTTGTACCCTGCAACTTTATTCATTTACTATTTCTAATAGCTTTTTTTGGTGGAGGCAGTAGGGTTTTCTATAAATAAA